GCCTTTGTCACCCACCCAAGTCAATGAAATGCAATCGAAAATGTCTAGTGAACCTAGCTCTAAGTCGAATTTCTTGGTTAATTCTAGTGATGTTAGGAGATCACTATGTGACTCCTCTTGCCAAGTGTTACTAATGGTCTTTAAAGATGTTTTGACTATAGATTGTGAAGGCAAGGACATTCCGGAGGAGATTAAGGCCATCATCAAGCGTTTTCAAGATGTGTTTCCGGAAGAACTACCGCATGGCTTGCCACCTATCCGAGGGATTGAACATCAAATAGATCTTATTCCGGGAGCTCAATTGCCAAATAGACCCGCCTATAGAGTCAACCCAACCGAAGCTAAAGAACTAGAGAAGCAAGTGGGAGACCTCATGAAGCAAGGATATGTCCGAGAGAGCCTTAGCCCTTGTGCCGTACCAGTTCTCCTAGTACCTAAGAAAGAAGATCCGGAGTTTGGGGAGAGTTATAGGGATCACGGCAAAGGAATTCACTCACGGTTCTACATCCAAGACGGGTTTCTCTTTCGGGACAAAAGGCTTTGCATACCCGCCAGATCTATTAGGACCCTACTAATGCAAGAGTCACATGGAGGAGGCCTAACCGGGCATTTTGGGGTTACTAAGACTTTGGAAGTCTTAAAGGAACATTTCTATTGGCCTAAGAAGAAGTTTGGCCTCTCCAACGCCCCATCCACCTTTATGCGGTTAATGAATCACATCCTTAGACCTTTCATTAATAAGTTTGTTGTGGTCTATTTTGATGATATTTTAATCTATAGCCGTAGCCTAGAGGATCACTTGGTCCATCTAGAGATGGTGTTGGTCACACTTCGAGAAGAAAAGCTATACGCTAACTTCAAGAAGTGTGTCTTTGGTACTAATGAACTAGTTTTTCTAGGTTTTGTTGTGAGTGAGCAGGGCCTTAGAGTGGATCAAGAGAAAATTCGAGCAATAGAGGAATGGCCTACACCGACAACCGTTAGTCAAGTGAGAAGCTTTCATGGTTTAGCAAGTTTCTACCGGCGTTTTGTCAAGGACTTTAGCACTGTAGCCGCACCTCTTACTGCCATCACTAAGAAGAGTGAAGAATTCACTTGGGGATCGAGTCAAGAAGCGTCATTTCAAGAGCTAAAGAGGAGATTAACACAAGCGCCTCTCCTAGTTCTACCAAGTTTTGAGAAGACCTTTGAAGTAGAGTGTGATGCGTCCGGCATCGGGATTGGAGCGGTCCTAACCCAATGAGGCAAACCCGTGGCCTACTTTAGTGAGAAGTTACATGGCCCTGTCCTCAACTATCCGACTTATGATAAGGAGTGATGTTTTGACTATAGATTGTGAAGGCAAGGACATTCCGGAGGAGATTAAGGCCATCATCAAGCGTTTTCAAGATGTGTTTCCGGAAGAACTACCGCATGGCTTGCCACCTATCCGAGGGATTGAACATCAAATAGATCTTATTCCGGGAGCTCAATTGCCAAATAGACCCGCCTATAGAGTCAACCCAACCGAAGCTAAAGAACTAGAGAAGCAAGTGGGAGACCTCATGAAGCAAGGATATGTCCGAGAGAGCCTTAGCCCTTGTGCCGTACCAGTTCTCCTAGTACCTAAGAAAGAAGATCCGGAGTTTGGGGAGAGTTATAGGGATCACGGCAAAGGAATTCACTCACGGTTCTACATCCAAGACGGGTTTCTCTTTCGGGACAAAAGGCTTTGCATACCCGCCAGATCTATTAGGACCCTACTAATGCAAGAGTCACATGGAGGAGGCCTAACCGGGCATTTTGGGGTTACTAAGACTTTGGAAGTCTTAAAGGAACATTTCTATTGGCCTAAGAAGAAGCGGATGGTCGAGAAGTTCGTAGGCCGTTGCATCACTTGCCGTACCGCCAAGGCCACCCCACGGCCACATGGCCTCTACAAGCCCCTACCGATTCCGAATGCACCATGGGTCGAGTTATCTATGGATTTCTTGCTTGGATTGCCTATCCAATACCGCAAAGACTCCATTTTCGTCGTAGTAGACCGATTTTCCAAAATGGCTCACTTTATACCTTGCAACAAGACATCGGACGCCACGGCCTTAGCCAACTTGTTCTTTCGAGAAGTTGTGAGGCTCCATGGAATACCCCGTAGCATCGTGTCGGATTGAGACCCCAAGTTCCTTGGTCACTTTTGGAGGACTTTATGGAGAAAGATGGGAACTAAGCTACTATACTCAACCGCGTGTCATCCTCAAACGGATGATCAAACGGAGGTCGTCAACCGAACCTTAGGCGCCTTGATCCGGACCACCGTGGCAAGCAATCCGGGCACTTGGTTAGAGCTACTTCCCCTTATGGAGTTCGCATACAATCAGTCCGTTCATTCGGCAACGAAGAAGTCTCCATTTGAAGTGGCCTACGGATTCAAACCTTTAACCCCCGCGAGTTTGCTACCCTTACCACCCAATGAGATAGAATGTCAAGACGGATTAGCCAAGGCCGAACTGATCAAGAAGTTACACACCAAAGTCCGGGAAAATCTAGAAAGAAGAACCGAGCAATACGCGCGAAAAGCCAACCAACACCGCAAGGCCATGATTTTCAAGCCGGGAGATTGGGTTTGGTTACACTTAAGACCGGAGTGGTTCCCACAACGTAGAAAGGACAAGCTTAGCCCAAGAGGAGATGGCCCTTTTCAAGTCATCGAGCGGATCAACGACAACGCCTACCGCTTGGAGCTACCCGGTACGTATAACACGTCTACTTCCTTCAATGTTTCTGATTTGGTTCCTTTTGATGTAGGGAATGATGAAGGAGTTCTGAGGTCAGAACCTTCCCAAGGGGGAGGGGATAATGAGACCCAACCTACCGGACAGCATACGGACAACGATCCGGACGAGGGCCGGGACGAGGGACGGAACATGGACCAACCCGGAACGACCCACGGGACACTACCGGCGACCAAGGTACCTCAAATCCTTCCGGGAGCTGTCACAAGGTCAAGGGGAGCTGCACGCAATCTCAGGATCAAGTGCAATGCCTTCGCGGAAGAGTTCATCCAAGTACACGACCCACGGCCATACGGCCCCATTGGACTCGACCATCCGGACGATCATGAGCTTGTCCGGACCGTCTTCACCATCACTAGGTGAAGGCATCAAAGTCACTAGTTGGACGTGGTACTCTTTTTCCCTACTTGGGTTTATCCCACGTGGTTTACCAAGAGGGTTTTAACGAGGCCAACGTACGCTAGCGCATGACCACGCATCTCCGCATGACGTGGCCATCTCTCCTTCCTTTCGTAATAAAGCCGTTAGGCTCTTCTTGTCTTATGGTTTGTATTTTGACACGTCTATCCTTGTTGACCCGCGCTTTGACTGTTTGCTTTAGGGTTTTATGAGTCTCCCTTGTAAACGCCTATATAAAGGCCCTCTAAGTCACTTGTAAGGGTTAGCTTCTTTTGAAATAAAAATCAGTCTTTTCCTTTTCTCATTTGTTGCGAAAACATTGAGAGCTCCTTAGAGTCTTTGAATCGGATTCAAAGCCTCTAAGTGTAACCGTATCACGAGCCCACCATCCCTCGTGTGTCGTTACCTCGTTCCGCCTTCACACCCCTCTTCTCCAAGTCACCACCGGTTCGAGATAGTCACCGGTTGTCGCTACCCACCCTTGCAAATCATCTCTTTGGAGTCTAGGCGATTCGAGCTACTCATCGTCAACCTCCCTCGCCGTCCCGTAACCGCCGTAACCGCCGTAACCGCCGTAACCGCCGTAACCGAAGGCCCTGTCCGTACCGATCGCCGACCGTACCATCGTCCCGAAGGCTATTTCCGTGACCGTGTGACGCATCACCAATGTTGGCCTCTACTGCGACCGAAAGGTTCAACGTTTCATTGCTCCTGTGGTTGAGCAGTTACCATACATCATCCGGAAATTCTGTAAACCCCAACCTTCCCAGAATCATGGCCTTGAACCCTTTATATGGAAACGTCTAACTGGCATCTACGAGAACAAAAGGTCTGGCGATTGTGGTCCATTAGCAATTAAGCTTCTTGAGATGCATTGCCATGGAAACACGTCTGCAATTGTCCACCAGTTAGACGACCGTCTTGTTGATCTCATTAGGAAACAATATGCCATGGACGTCTATGCTGCATTTATTGCACCCTTGTATTTTAAACAGTCAGGTTGACCCAACTACTGGGTCATGATAGTCAGCCTTCTAACAATTTGTTTTTATATCTCCTATTTTGTTTAACAACTACTAGTAAGCGGGTGAAGTCTCTGTTCTTTTTTGTTGTTACTTCCGGATTGTAATTTCATAATATGATTCATCTTCATGTTTGCTGAACATTCTGCCTTTTGGCTTGTTGAACATTCTTATTTAAGTGAATGTAATGGTATTGTATTTTAGTGTAATATTTCGCAGCCACCATTTCGGCAGCAGCTTATTTTCTTTAATTTGTGTACTATTTGAAGGTTTCCATGGAGACAACATACCTCCTTATGGTTTAGCGTATTTTGAAGGTGCATGAATTGTTACCCTTTGCCATGTGGACGACTTTCGTCACAACGACAACGACGCACTTTAGGTTGTATGTTCAGATCCATGTGGCATTCAAACTATATCATGAAAATGTTAACATCCTGACGAAACTTTCAAACACACTAATGTTACCAAAATTATCCCACCTTACATGGTTTTCCTACATTTTGATTCTGCAAGAATTGTTACCCTTTGCCATGTGGACAACGACGCACTTTAGGTTGTATGTTCAGATCCATGTGGCATTCCAACTATATCATGCCGTCCCAGTTCTTTTTTTGGTGTCATCTCCGGATTGTAATTTCATAATATGATTCAATGTATGCAAAACATTCTGCCCTTTTGTTTGTTGAACATTCTACACCCATACACAAAGTTTTCCATTGTGTATGCTCTAAGGTACACAACAAAACGTCAACCATAATTTATTGAACCTAAGAAAAGAGAAAAAAGACCAAGTAGAATTTTGGGACTAACACAAATCTGAGATTTTGAATACATAGGTTAGAGCAAAGCAAGATGGGCAAACATCTGGTGCCGTATGATGGATAAGTCGACATTCTGGTATATCAATTAAGCCCCTAAAACCTCGGTAGGTATGCCGTCCCGGTGTTCCCATGTCTCGGATAGCTGCCACAACTTGTTCAGCAATATTAACAGCTTCTAAGAAGTTTGGGACCTTCTCAAAAATTGTGTTGAGAACCCTTTTTCCGTCATTTGTAGAGCCGCAACAAACTAGGAGAACTCCAAAAGCAAAACGAGAATGAATGTTAGTAACCGCAGCTTCACCAACCATATCCAGGATTTCGACGGAAGGGCCATCTTGTGCTGCTCGTCTCAACCCTTCCACGTATTTAGCGGTGTTGTTTTGGGCCAGCAAACACCTAAGCAAGAAAGGGCGGTACGCCGACCCAATATTGCATAAGGAACCTACATAGATAAACTCATCTAGGCAGACATCCCTTAACACGTCATATGAAAACACCATTTCTGCCCACACAGGGCCTGCTGCGATAAAAGGGCCTAGCTCACGGAATCCATACTGGCCAATCCGTCTTAGTATTTCAGTCACCAGTGGGATAGGTATGTAAGATGACATTTTTTACTAAAATTTCCTGAAACAGGATTTTGTTCTATACATTTATATAAAGTATGCCCTTTAGGGTTTCAAAACAGTTTTGAAGCATAATATTAGACTTTCTAAACGCTACTATCACTTAGGAATGGTCAGTACCATATGTACATCCAACATCCAAGAATGGTCATCATAACGATATATTATGTGTTTACAACTACGTCGTATTAATTATATTTAGACGTATCCACATAAATAGCGATTGGTAAAAACGGGCTGTGTACCAAGTATCCATTATGCCCTTTATGGTTTCAAAACAGTATTGATGTTCTCAAGTTTGGGTATGTTGGATCAACCATCTTCCATGTGATCGTATCCACATGTATAGCTAGTTGATGTAAGTTTGGTTGGTTTGATATTATTATGGTCAAAAACATGTGGATAAGTTTAACTCTTTTAAAATCATGTATATCTAATATTCTGCTTCAAGACTTTGACTTTTTTGCTTATATTCTGCGTCAAGAATATTTATTTTTTTCACGTATCTGGGTGAATTAGAAATGGTCAGTACCACATGTACATTACCATCGTTTCAGTCAAGTATCATTTATAGGAATAACGATATATTATTTATGTCTGGATTTGTAGATGTATCCACATGGATAGCGATTTGTTCAAACGGCCTGTGTTCCAAGTATCTATTATGCCTTTTAGGGTTTCATTAAGTTATGCTGAAACGTATATAAGCCTGACCACCCATAACTAAGATAAGCATCGTTGGGGTACAAAAAATCTCTCAAAATGAAAATCTTTCAAGAGGGGGAATCGTCCGAACAACCATCCAATCCAACTAAGAAACCGGTATCAAAATACATTTTAGATTTTATTTTTTACGAGTTGTCATTTTTTAAAAAATAACTGTGTTATTAACGTTGTTCATCTGATTTCAAGGTTATCCAAACTCATGAGATCCACATCCCCGCTGTCTTGCTTGCCAAAATAGCTAGTCTTGTTGCTGAAGAGGGCGTGAAAGATTTGAAAAACTGGATTCTTGCTGGGCGTGAAGGAGTAGAGGCTGCATTGTCAAACGAAACACTTGCTCGGGTCCGACTGGACAAATCTCCACATTTCATTTGGTGGACGATGCCGCACTCCACATACTACTGCTTTTTCCAGAAATGTCTAACTCAAAAAAACAAGTACGCCATGTTTGCGGAGATGAGTAAAGGGTTGGCATATGAATCTTTGGTGAAATCATGCTATCGGAGGGGCCACTGGGCGCTGGCATTTAAACACTGCGTTCCATCGCGTTTGGACTTTGGTGAACAAGATTCTGTGGGGTACTTGTGCCAAGCGCCGACAATGCATAGAATCATTGGTAGGCCCAGGTGCGTCCGTTGCAAACGACCAGGTCACAGCATTCGCCAATGTGGCTACCATTTCCAACCGTAAAATCTTGTAACGGTCCTTTTTATGGATTAATATCCATTCCTAGGCTTATCAGCGTTACTTTGCTTATTGCACTTCCTAATCTTTTTCATTATCGTTTCCTTTTGGCCATGTGGGTAGTTGTGTTTTTTTGAATTATCCTTTACAATGCTTATTGCAATTCGGATCTTCTGTATACCTATCGTTTCGTTTTGTTAATCCAGTAATGTCCACATGTTTTATAGAAATCGACCATCTTCACTTTTTTGCTTTGTTATTTTTAGTAATGTTGGTGTTAAAGCATTAAAGGTGTCCACATGTTTTAGACCATTATGCGAGATCCTCACATGTTTACCCACCGCCGTTAATATTTTCTTTTCGAAATCATTAAAGTTGTATACATGATTATGACCAGATATGTTAGATATTAACATCTTTATATTACACTAAGGGCTATGAACATGGAGGTTAACTTGTATAAAATATCCCCATATTTCATAGAAAACCAGAATCTTGCCATTTTTGCCATATCCATTACGAGACTCAGTCATCGGAATGTGTAAGGAAAATCAATTTATCAGACGAGGGTTGGAAAATAGATGAAACGGTAAATGGGGAAGCATGCCATCGATTGCTGGAATTAAAAAGCTGTGTGAGGTGACTAATCTGTGGGTCAGATGGCTATGTGTTAAGCCATGTGGAGAGAAATCACATTCGTTGGGAAATGTTGAGTGGTAAAAGTTTATTTGGCGTGGGAGATTTGGCAACCAGTAGCACAGAAAGCTCGGAAGAACGAAGTCTAATCAATAATTAGTTGTTGGTATACTGTAATACCAAGATAAATATCTAATTATGGGACCCGTTTGAGGTATGTGCTGGACTCCATTGTCGATAAGGCATGAACGAACTACTTTAAGTTATAAATGTAACCACAGCCAACCCAAGTGTCGTTACTTATAGTTAATCGATCTTATCCTGTAACGAGCCCATATACTTCGATGCTTCGTAAACAGTGTATGATGTGAACACCTTAAGTTTAGGAACACAATTAACTTTAAATGATAAATCCATGTGGACTGTTATAAAATCAGTCTTTCGCCACTATCATGTAACCTTTAATTCCTAGTTATTCGATCCTATCATATAAATCTTTAATTCTGTAAATAGACCTCTACTGTGTGTACTTAGGTTTATGGACACTACTGACTTAATTTGATGCATCCATATGTACTCACCACTGTGTGAAAACACAAAACGATGGTATGTTGAGTTGTGAAGTTTTATAGTAGTGAGTTATAGAATTTGTTAAAAGTTATATTGACAAGCCATGTGGAGATATAATTTTTTTATATGATAAATAAAGATTTGATGTGTCTATGAGATAAATAAAGCTAGGCTGTCTATATGTGATAAGCCATGTGTTGATAAATAATATTTTTAAAATTGAATCCACATTGGTTGGGAAATGAGGTGTGGTTAAAGGACATTTGGCGTTGGAGACTTGGAAACCTGTACCTGTCAAAGCTCGGAAGGGATAAGTCAAATCAATCATTAGTTGTTCGTTTACTGTATTACGAAGGTAAATATTTTATTATGGGACCCGTTTGAGGTAAGTGCTGGACTCCAATGTCGATAAGGCATGAACGAATTACTTCAAGTTAGAAATGTACACCTTTAATGTAACTAACACACGTGTCCCGTTAATCGATCCTATCCTTTAACCAAACCATATATATCGTTCCTTCTTAATAAATTGTATGAAGTGTCAACTTAAGTTTATGGATACTTTTGACTTCAAATGCTCAATCCATGTGGACTGTTATAAATTCACATGATGGACTGTGTCATGTAACCAACCCATATCAATTCTTAATTCCGTAAACAGTACTCTGCTGTGTGGACTTAAGTTTTTGGACACTATTGACTTAATATGATGCATCCACATGGACTGACCCACTGAGTGGAAAAAACCTAACCAGTGTAGGTGGAGTTGTGAAGCTTTATTGTTTTGAGATACATTGCTTGGCTGGAAATTTAACTAAACGTTTGGGATCATAGTCCCGAATCAAGACAAAAGCATAATATCTCTAGATAGGTAGTAATAGATGCAATCAAGGCATCGTTCGCCGTTGAACTCTTTTAGCCAGTCATGATCTTGCCAACACTCAGGGAAGTCATCGAATTCCCAGGTCATTCTGAAACTCCCACATCGCGATGGCCCAATGGAGTTGATGTGGAACATCAGCGTGTCTGACATGTCGTCGATTTCGTTGAACGAGTACTTGTTACGAAATTCGCTGTACACATCGTCGTCTAGTGTACCTGCACAGCTGTGCAACATTATCCACAAAAGTTTGGCTAGAGGTAACACATCTTTGATAGTATCTAGCATGTTTATAGCTGCAGATAGATTACAATCTGTAAAACCATGATGTATGCTTTGGGCATACAAAGCATAAGGATTTCCATGGTGTATGCACTTGGAGAAGATGTTATAGTAGACACTGGTAGGTTTCGACCATTCAACGAAATCTTCATTTTTATCCAGCCTGATAGAGCAAAGCGTTTCCGGAGAAACTACAGCTCTGTACCCCTCAGGGCCAGCAACGATCCAATTTTTAAGTTCCCCAACACCTTCTTCAGCGACATAGCTTACAATTCTCGCCAACAGAGCGGCAGGAATATGGAAACTCGGCGAAGACATTGCCTGGACATTATGTAGCTGTTTACCAAAGAGTAAGCTTATAACATTAATAAAACCATGGAAGTCGTGAATAACCTGGTTTACGAATGGCACAATGGATTGGCGGATTGGTCGAGAGGTCCGTTGTCTAGGAGGAGAGGTTAGAGCACTTCTTGGCCGGTAATAATGCCGTGTCGGTGGGAGAGGGTTTGCATTATTTGTGTGATCAAGGATGTTCATGGTTTATGTCTGTGTATCTTGGTCGGGTTCTCATGAATCACCAATAAATAGGCTGGCGGTAGTGTTCGATGGTGGGATGAATTATGCGATAAACCATGTAGGTCTAACTAACATGCCTATAGTTACTGGTCAAATGGATGGGTTGTTGTGGATCCAGACTTAATCAATATCCGTTCATCCAGATCAGTCGACCGCCCAACCTTTATAAGGTTATTGGATTAAAACCAAATGACACCTTTTTATGGATACATTTAAATTGTCATTGACAAATTTTTCCCATGGGTTTACTTCATGAACCTGAGAAAAAACGGATTGGTCTAAATAGCTTTCCTATAGTTTCTGGTCAAATGGATGTGTTGTTGTGGTTGAAGACTTTATAAATAACCTTTACCTGGGTTTTTGGATAAAACCCAAATGACACCTTTATATGGATACATTGAGAGTGTTAATGGCAATTTTTTTCCATGCTTTTACTTCATGACCATTAGAACATCCGCAATGGTCTAACTAACATGCATATAGTTACTGGTCAAATGGATTGGTTGTTGTGGATTCAAACTTAATACACCACCTTTTTTTCGTTGGGTTATTGACCCAACCTTAAGTTGTCCTATATATATCCAGTTTGCAGAAGCTTAGACCAGGTATAACGTAAACCATTTTTTTCCGCCCA